CTGCTGCAGTAAACTTGCACTGACTTCTCTAGGGCCAGGATTTCACCCTAGATGCAATCATGAATAATGCTAATAGCAACAGTCACTATGTACACATGCTGTAAGTTTAGAAGAGTTATAAGCATTTGTGATTTGTGACATAATTAAGAGCGTTAGGAAGAAACTTTCCATAGGGAGAGGTTATTCTATATTTATCCTCTGTGCAAGCATTTTATCTTCCTTTGAAACACCTGGAATTAGATGGTCTTAAAGACAAGGCACTGGATTAGTAGTCTGCACTGGAATAGTTATTCCCATATTCCTGTAGTCATTAACAGAGTAAGACAGATTCTTTTCTAGTTCATTCATACATGCTATTAAAATACAGTATTACTAAAGGCCAAAAATGTTTGATAAATACCTTCTTTCTCACTAACCCTGATTCACGTGTATCAAGCAGCCAATTCCTAATACGTATGAGGAGAGTTTCTAATGCAGGAGAGTATTTCCTTCAAAGCACTGCATATTCATCCCTAAGACTGATAGATTACCTTTGAATGAACTTACTGTAAGCTGCTGGAGATTTGGCACAGGCTGCAAAAGCAGTAGAGCAGCAGTGTGATTGTTACTAGCTACAGCAACAGCCAGCACCGTAACAGCTGAATACCGTAACAGCTAACAGCAAGGTTGTACACAACTGTAGGAAAAGTTTGTCTTAGCTTTCGGGATGCTGGATGCCACCTAGAGGATTATCCTCACTGCTGTGCTCTCAGCTGCTTTTCCTCAAAAAAGAGCTCTGCTACCCTTGCCAGGCGCTGCGCGTCAATGCAGGGCGAGGAGCCTGGGTGATGAGCCCCCGATGATGGTCCAGGGCTGTTCTGCCCCTGGGCCCGGAGGTCTCTTCTAGCTGTCTCTGTACAGCAGTGCGTGGCGTTTGGGAACCACCAACCTTCAGTGAACTGCACCCCCCACATGGAAATCAACCTATGTGCCATAAGGGCAACCGAGACCTAGCAGCCTCTGCTTTAGTTTCCTCTGGCTGTGCATTTGCGGGCCACTGTTTCAGAGCCACTTAAGGGCAAGGAATACAATTTAAACAGATGCAGGAGCCTGTCTGCCTCTTTCGTCCTCTGCTCTTCAGGTGTGTCACCGACTTCAATGCTGACAGTCAGCTTCCACCTAATCCCAGGAGGAGGTGGCCACATCCCCTCGGTACCCAAGTTTTCTGCCATAGATGTGCACAGAACCAAGTAAGTGCCAGCACTGCCCCGTTGCTGGCAAGCTCTTGATAAAGAGCCGCAAAGTGACATTTCCAGAGCAGGCACTTGGGTGTGCTTGCAAGGAGATACTCAGACTTCACTTGCACTCTTTTGCAGGGATACAACCCTGAGATCTATATCGAGCTTTTCCAGAAATTAGAGGCCTGAGGCAAGAATTAGTGAGTGAACATATCTGGTACTTTTATGCCCTTCTGGCCTATGAAACCTGTAAGTTGCCTGGTTTCTCTTAGTCTTGCCATGTCTCTACCTTACCTGCCAGGGGAGGGTGCAAACCCTGTCTCTTCTGTCCTCAGGCTAGCCTAGTAAAGGGGAAATTCACCTACCAGTCATTGAATGGGGTGTGCTCTTATAGGAAGGAAGACAATTTTTTTTCGTCTATCATTGGGACCATTTCTCCGCTAATTGCTTCGAGAAAGTGGAATGAAAACGGCAGTCAAGAGTCAAGTAATAGATCTGATCATCTTTAATTTCTAACTTGGCCGGCACAGCAAAAGTTTAAAGAATAGTCTGGAGAGAGAGAACACCTCCACTTTAAAATTAAACATTTGTCTTCTATATTGTTCTGATTGTCCTCACCTTTCTTTGTCCTGAAAGTCCTGCTTTTCGGTCCCTTCCCCTTGTTTAAGGTGATACTCATGCCTGTTTTCCCAAATACCACCTCTGTGCTTTCTATCTTTTGCTGTGCTTTATACTACTGTAACTTTTAGGCGTTTGAGTCTCATTCCAAGGCTACCTACTGTGGGCAGTGTAAACAAAGTACAACAAAGAAAATAACAGTCCCTACCTCAAGGAACATTGTCCACTTCCTTGTGTGTCTCTATGCACTTAGGACAAGCCCTTGTTTAGTACACAGTGAAATAAGGATACCCAAAAGAGGTGAGGGCATTTCACCCTTCCCCCTTACCAAAGCTGCTGCCCACAGACACATCCTACCGAAGTCAGTGGGCGTTCTCAGTCTGGACTGGGTTAAGGGTTTTTTAAAAAATGAGCGACAATTTACTATAATGCGGTTGATAGTATCTAGGTTTACTCCCCCTGAAGAGTATGAGGTGCCCGTTCAACTGAGCATGCAGAGTGTGGCTGATGGTCTTTCTGTCCCTGGCAGGGAAGCGCTGCTGTGTACGCTTGCCGGAGAGCGGCAGAAGGGCGAAAAGATGGAGTGGAGGCTGGGGAAGACGACCCATGCCCGGAGGAACCTTTTTGGCCCCGTAGACCACGAGCAGCTGCAGCAGGACTTCCAGCACATGCTGCACAGCAGCGTCGAGGGAGCCCAGCAGAAGTGGAACTTTGATTTCCTCCGGGACGTGCCAGCCGAGGGGCTTCTGCAGTGGGAAGAGCTTGAGGGCCACCAGGTGCCTGCCTTCTACCACAGCTGCGTGGTAGGGGACTCTCAGAGACCTCTGCAGCACTTGAACTGGCCCCTGGGCAGGGAGGATAAGATTCACCACTTTGCCCAGATGGCACTGACTGAGAAACCCAAAACTTCCAAGAAAACAGGGAGCAAGAGGAGCCCAGAAGGGAAAAAGCGAAGACAGACAAGACAGACTTCTCTGACAGGTGTGTGAGACCTTTGTATTGCTTTGTATTGCTGCTCCCAGCAGCTTCTTAGAAATTCTTTGATAGACCCATAAACCAGTCTTGTTTTAAGAAAAAGGCTCTTTTTTTTTTTTCAGAGAAGCATCTGAAAGAGAAAGAATGCAAACCCTTAATTGAGGGACAAGTGACTTGTGTTTTTTCAAGGGTGCTGTGCTACAACCTCCCTCCAGCCCCTGGGGGTTTGTTAGGACTTCTCAGCATCAGAACAAATAAGATAATGGCCACTTCTTGCAAGAGGATGGTTAGGGTGGTTGCAGGGGTTAGACAGTTAAAAATCCATTCCAAGAAAAGCAGTGAAAGAAATTGCCAAGCAGGAACCCAGCAAGAAAACAGGGTTGCCCATCAGTTGGGAGTTTCGGGGTTTTTGTTTGCTTATACTGTCCTGAGTGCAGCAAGGAGCACAGTTGGCTGAGCTAAGCCTTAGGAGGAAGACCAGAAACCAGAGAAAGCAGCCAGTTCTCCTGCTAACTTCAGCTTGGATATTATACTCAGTGAAGGCATCCAGGAATTTTAAGGGCAGATCAATCTTAAACTTGGCCAGGAGGCAGAAAGGGGCTAGGTTTTACAATGCCTCTCACCAGGACTTGCTGCCAGATGCACAAAGGAATGGATTTCTTGTTTCAGCATCCATAAAAGAGTTTCAAGTTTTTAAAAGTCCTCAGCATCCTGCATGCTAAGCTCTTCTGAGAATCTGGCCCCTCATTTTCTCTTCCCAGTAGGATTTGAGCTTATTTGAAAAATCTGATCCCATAGATTAGATTTCCCTTATCCTTACTGGGATTTTGGTTTATCCTGGACTGGGGTTTTCAAGACGTAGACAAAAGATTTTCTTTGGGGAATTTGATGTGAGACACCAGCTCGAAATTGCCTAGAAGATAATTGAAGCTAAGGTTTCAGGAAACATTTTCTGAATAGTGATGCTGATCTCGGTAAGTCAGACAATAGAATAATTTGCTATTTGAGGGTATGAAACTTAATTGCTGGAGAGAGGTTCAAGAAGAGGTTGGAGATTAATGAAGAGTAGAACATTGTACAGTGGAGTACAGAACAATGATATTTAATGAGAGCACTTTTCTTTTCCAAAGCACTTTACAGCCATTAACTAATTAACAGTATAATTTGCAGGTAGGAGTGCAGAAGTGTAATTCAGAGCACAATGTTGTGATGGTTTGAGGGAACTGCTGTTCAATTGTAAATCTCTCACTAGGTGTGTGGGAGTAAATTATGCAGATATTTCCAGGGGATATTTTTTCTTCCTTTCTGTTTTCCCCAGGCAACACACATTTCAACAGGGGATGTGGAAACCAAAATACCGCACTACACAGTTTAACACTTTCCCACATATGTTTTCATAAGAGAAGACTCTTCAGTCTAACAGTACCCTTCTCCACAAGGAATCTGGGATGTAATGAGATGGGCCAGGAATATCATTTGCAGTCCTCTTCTTTGATGACACTTGGAGATCAGGGCCTCTCTTCCTCCTTCTCTCACAAACACGCATGCACCCATGTAGCCTCCTTATTGCCAGCTGAAGAATTCATTAAAAGTTTCTCTCTGGATGCAGAAAGCTCGTCCCGCTGAATAAGACTACAGTAATTCGGGCAAAACTGAAGGCGGGGTGTGATGGGAAAGTGATATGATCTGACCTCACTTTTCCGCCCATTTGTTCAACTTCTGCCATCCCGGAACGAAAGGTCAGTTTAGGATCAGGCGCTCCGATTGGCTTTGAGCTGTTATCTGCGTTTGCCTTTGGTCAAGAGGAACGCTGTAATGCTTTACATTAAGATCCAACAATGTGCATTTAATTTAGACTTTAAAAGACAGCTGTGGCCCATTAAATAAATATCAATGTATTAAAAACCATCCATGGGGTTTTGTGGACGTTGGCGCCTCCAGAGTGGAAGGAACAGAGGTTTTCTTGCTGTATTTGACTCCTCAGACATGTACAGAGATAACTAGTATGAAAGTACATTTTTCCTTCTATCTCCCAGTCCTTTTATGTGCACGTACTTCATCTCCATTTGTCTTTCTCAGTGTAGTTCCAGTGTGGTTCTGCTCTGCAGTCTGTCTGGGAGAGCCTCAAGTTCAAAAAGTAGCTCAGCTACAGGCCTTTTGTTTGGTTGGTTGGATTTTTTTTGGTTGGTTGTTTGGTTTTTTTTTTTTGAAAGCTGTGTTTCTCTAACCAGGGTTGGGGAGCCATGCCAGCTTTTTGCTACTCTTCTTTTCCAAACCTATTGGCTTGGCTCACTCTGATGCACTTAGACCTTGTAGTGTCACTCGGCTCTCCAGGATGGCATCTATAAGTCCTTGCCTCCTTTGCTTAATGTCAAAAGAGAGAAAGTTGACAACAATTCTATGTTTTCATTTGCTGGTCTTACTTCTGAAGCATTTAGTCCTAAAACCCCATTTTCTGCAAGATGATCGGGAGAAAACAAGGGAAAAATGAAAGTAGGTATTTAGGTAGGTATATTTAAGCAGTACTGATCTTACCCTCCTGGACCCCTGTGCCTCAGGGTTTTCTTCTGGACTGGCTGCAAGTAATGTCCCAGTCAGTCCTTACTTATGCCAACTGACGTGCTCTTTAGAGCCCCTCAAACATACCATCCTGCTTCCGTGGACTCTGTCTAGAGTCTTAGGTGGAAGCTAAGCCATCTGAATATGGCTCTGGGGATCTGCCTCCCCCTGGCTTTTAAGTGCCTCTATCAATCCTGAAACTGGGCTCGACTATGAAGTATGCAAGTGTCTAAGCAATTTGGCTCTAGCTAAAATTCTTTACTGGCTGAAATGGGAATAATGACTACTTAAGACTTTTATAAATTTCATCCACTAAGCATAATCCATAATGCATTTCTTTGCCCGAAATAAAATGGAGGATAGCTTTGTGGAAGCCTTTGTACTGGAAGAAACAGCAGACGTTTGGATTATATTTTGTAGCGTAGGCTTTTTAATCTTAACTGCTATCCCTCTCCTCTGTGGCCCCAGTGAAAGCCTGCAGTGGGTTATAGTAATAGCAGGACTTGCTTTTCTACTGAGTTAGCAGCACATGTTGCTGCCTGGGAGAACACACTCTCCTTGGGATCAAGTCTCGCTCCAGAAGCTTAACTTACTCAGGGCTAGCTCCAGTACCGCTACGCTCCGTTGCACTGTGCCATGTAGACATATCCTTAAGGAAGTTGGCTGCAGGAATCACTTTGCACAAACTTGGCTGTGAAAGGCTATAGAGTTCCACTCATCCTGCCAGTAATATTCTGTGCTGAAATTAATACAAGACTTTATGCTGCTAGGACTCGATATATGCTGCCAATTTGATTATATAGGAAGCTTAAGTTTGAACATTATGAAGCCCAGATCCTCAAACGGTTTAAGTTGGAATAACTTCATTAGTATGAATACAAAGGATTTATACTAGGTAAATGTCATCAACTCTACATGTAAATAAACATTTAGCTTCCATTTCAGCTAATTTTGCTCTGTTTACCTGAAAAAGATATGTATTTTCTGTGCTGGAGGGGACAGGAAAAGAACTCCTAGGTGTTTTCTATAATTATGGTTCTGTAGTTGAGAAAAATTTTAAGTTTGCACTTAAAGCAAAGATTTAGCCACGTATGCATATGAAAAAGTTCTCCCCTTGAGCCACAGTACTTACTATCTGGGTGAAGAATTACTTACAGTTCAGTGGTATAGCAAGGTTTCATGCAGTCCTCCCAGAATCCGTATTTGACTTAGTAAGTAGAAATAAAATGCCACATAAATACAGTTCTTCTGATGTTATTTTACAGTGAGTATATTTTGTTATTTTTAAGGAGGAGAAACAACTGTTTCTGACGGGAAAACACTGCAGCAATGGCTCTAAAAGTTGGAGTAAAATGCCACATTGCTCAGCTTGCACAAGAGGGTCCAAAGTCCTTTGATCTGAACTGGATAAAAGCCAGCACATTTCCTTTGTTTTACTTGGTATTACATAGCTTTGTATGGAACGTACTAAAGGTATTAGTTTTGTTCCTTCACAAGCCTTAGAGAAGCCCAAATGATTTCTTTGACACAAAACCAACAAGATTTGAGGGATTTCTTTAAAGCAGACTTTATTAGTGTTACAGTTCTAATTCTCTGTGTTTTTGTGTTGTTCTGCAGATTACTACTCAGCAAAGAAGCGAGTCAAAACGAATACGCAAGCTGCTGTAAAAAAGTCAACTTCTTGAACGGGAGCACAGGATTGTTCTGCACCGGGGAGGTTGGAGACATCTGTCAAGTTGCCTCGACGCTCAGAAACCGTGTGCACAGGCTGCAGACACTTAGAGGCATCGCACAGAAAGATACTCATGACAGCAGCAATGAAAGGTCTTTTGGGCAAAAAAAACTTTCATCGGAAAGGGGTCAGGCCAAATCAACTGGAATCACTTTAATGAGAAATGACTAGCCTTAAAACCTGCTGGTAAGCAAGTTAGGATGCTACAGCAATCAGCTAAGGCTAGCAGTTTAACATGCGTTACAAATAACTCTGCATGAGAAAGTGGCAAACAGTTATAGCTGTATATGTGTAATAATGTGCTTGGACATGTCATTGTACATGTGGGGCCTTTTATTGTTATGCCTTTACACATCCTCTGTCATGGTTTTAGCAGTGATGCTTAATAAGTTTCACCACCTTTGCTTTATAGGTCTGACATACAAAAAAGTTCCCCAGCTCTTCTATGATGTTTTTCAGGCGTAGGATATATGCCTGTTTTGTGCTTGCAACTGTTTGGGGCATAAACAACAGAATTTAGGTGCCAAATGTCCCTGTACTGCTGGGATGAAAACGGAGGAAGCTGATATTTTTCTCGGGAAAGTTTCCATTTATATCAGCAGCCCTTTTAGCCCTGTGGATCCCTTCTGGATCCACCCAAGAATTAGGCAGTTAACCTTAAATGTTATAGGTAGAAATTTGCAAACATTTTTTTTGTATCTATCTTTCAAGTCATTCCTGTTATCAGCTGGGCCAAATTCACCCTTCATTTTTGGTTGTGCTCTTCCACCTATGTCTATAAGTTTGCATGGTGAAATGAAGACAAAACAGGCTGTGCGTTTGTCCACAATATTTTAAATTGCCTGCTGCCTGCCAGAACATGCTAAGAATGAGGGAGACGGTTTAGTTGCCGTATTGTGCTTCTATTCAAACTGATAATATATTTCTATAAAAAGATAAAGAGCATTAATAGCACTGAAAGTTCTGTTCCTCTTGCTGTTACATGGACTGCTTTTTCTAGGGCATTTGGTAACATATCCCTTTCCACCACCTCCTTTTCATTTCCCATCTTCATTACCCTGACTGCTTGGGATAATTGAGGTTTTACAGCACATAATAATCAGTGGGTAAAACAGAAAATGAAACCTATAAAATATACACTCGAAATTATACCGCCGCATATGGCCTGAAGATGCATTTGTAGTGAGCACATTTGGAAAGACCTCTGCAAATGTGAGCATTTTAGAACTTCATACAGTGATGGAACACGGCTTTTTTTTCTCAAATCTACACAAACCAAGGCCTTTCTTGGGGAGTAAAAATGCATGTGCTCACACACACGTGTCAGCTGTACACATGAGATGTGTTTTAAGGAAGCAGTACACCCTGCATTACATGTAACATCAGGACGGATTAGTGTCTTTTTTTCCCCCCCAACATAAGAGCTAGAATGTTTAGACATAAGTAATAGTTGGTTTCGCCCGGGTGGCAGGATGCCGTTCCTCTGTGTGCTGAGATGAGGGCGCTCAGCAAGTCGCAGAATCGGGGCCTGTTTCCAGCTGCATGCCAAAGAGCATCACAAAATGTGATTTTCTCTTTTGAATTTTTGATTTTGTAAGGAACTGTGGAAACAAAACTTGCCGCAGTAAAGGGAGTTTTAGCTAAATGAAGCAGGATGAGGGCCTGCTTTGCTGGCAAGTGCTGCTAGCAGTGCATTCAATGTGGTTGTGGGCCAGACCCTACTCTTACAAGCTTTTCATCAAGTTGAGATGCAGCATAAAGGTGTGGAGTTAGGCTTTTTGTGTGATTGACTGTTTTTATTTTTAACTTTGCTTGTCACTAGAACAGAACAATATATATATTTTTAAGTGTGCGATTTTTCTGTAGCTCAGAAAAATAGCACAACTGTTCCTCAGGGGTCTGTGATTTTAAATCAGACCAGGGACATTGTGCAGCTTTTTTTTGTAGCAACGTTTTGCAGCATTACTTTCTGACCAGGATGGCATGAGCTGTGTGTAGAAGGCCGCAAGCCTGCCATGCACAAGGTCACTGTGAAATTGCTGAGTCTCTTTTCTTTTCTTTTTTTTTCCCCAAGGGGAAAAGGGAAACTTCTTTTTATTAGGAGAAATAACGACTGTCGATGCACTGCTATCCCAGCACAACAAGAAAGCTATTTTGGAACCAATGTGAAAAAAATCCTAAGTGCTTATGTGTATATTTAAAAGGACATATTTGCTTTAACTGCTTTGTGATCAGGACCCTACAATGTCCTGGGAGTTCATAAACAGTTGTTTAAGTTATCAGCAAATTGAACACCACAGCTTTCGATTCACAACACAGATATCAGCTCAAGAGTGGAATTTCAATAGATTCAGACGGAAAGGGCAAGACAACGGTTTAGAATTAGGCCTGTCCATGTTTAGCTCCGATTGCGACTGTTAGTTCAGTGCTGTGGTAAAAAACCAATTGTCTGCTGATTAGACGGGGTGATGTCTTTGTTTACCGACTACGCATTCATTAATGTTTTTTGGAATGACATAATACTGGAAATGAAGATACATGGTAATACAAAAGAAGGGGATGGGGGGAATGGTGTTTTCATGCCAGTGTTTGCAATTGGAAAATTGTTATACTTGTACCACAGGGCCCAATCCTTCTCCAGTATACATCACTATAGCTCCACTTAAGTGCAGTAGAGCTACCTGGATTTGCACTGGAGGAGAATTGAGACTGAGATGTTTTGCACTAGTTCTTTTTGTTACTTTACAGAATAAAGCGACAAGCAGCTATGTAAAGCCATTGCCTCCCTTCTATATACACAGGTTTTAAAAGGTAAAGAAAAATGGTTTCTGCAATAGCAGCATTGTGGATGTGGCAGCCAAAAATGACAGCAAACTTCTGATTAGTGTCTGGGCTCCATCATCAACAGGGTAGATAAAGCATGTCAGTCTTTTATTTCATTACCATTCTGATGGGGATACAGTCAAGTGTGGAATATTTCATTCTTTTGTTCATCCTGTAAATTGCACTTTCTTGCATGCAAAGGGATATGTCAGTATGTAGCAAAGCTATAATAATAATATTTTTATTATTACGTGGGTCTAAAACGTTCCCATTCTTTAAGTGGATGGAGGAGCCAGCAGACCTGGAAAGACCTGGAAAGAGCAGTACCCCAAAGCTTTGGTCTGCTTCGCTCTGTGGCAGAAACAACGCGCTGGGTGTACCTAGCCCCGTTCTGTAGCAAAGGGCTTGTTTGCTGTCCACCGAGTTGGGTTGTCCGCCTCGGTACATGGCCATACACTAAACCCCAGAACAGCACTTTCTCGTAATGAGGAGCAAGGAGGGGTGTTCAGAAACTGAAAGAAATTTGGGCATTAAAGGAACGGTAGCAGCACTGTTCACAGGTCTTATGCAGCTGTCTTTACACGTGTGATTACGCAGCAGAAGGGAAACCACATCAGGAATCCACAAAATATTGTAACCTCAGTACGTTGATAAGTAGATACAACTACGTCCACCTGAGCCCTCCTCCTTCCCCTTTTCTGAAGATAAACTACATACATGACTCAGGGTCATATATTACTGAACAGCCACAGCCTAGCTGCCACTGGTGCCATAGTGTGACCAGCATACACATTAGGGAAGTATGCAGTTCAGGATTTTACCATCCCAGATAAATGTGCCCCATGTGCAAATGGGACAGAGCAAGTCCAAGAACAGCTATTGCACTTGCTTTATGTTTTGTACAAGCATGGAAATCATCTCTCAGGTATGGATCATTTCATTAAATTCCTTTCAGCAGCAACTGGAGAATGTTGTTCCGCGTGGGCAAGATAGCCAGGAAAAGAAATATTCTCCATGCTTTTAGTTATTTTCAGGATGATACAAATATAGTTTTCTGCTTAAAGCAGCTACTCTGCAAACTATCCAAGTACCCTTCTTTAGGACAGAATTAGTTTCCTAGAAAATCTGTCAACTTGCTACAGTAGATGCTTTATAATTCCACCATCACCTCTTGGGTTCCTGTTAATAGGCATTGGGGGTGGGCCTTAAAATCATAGAAATGTTTGGCTGGAAGGGACCCTATGATATTGTCTCATCCACTCCCCTGCTTTAGGGCAGGATCAGGACTTATTTATTCCAAAGCTTGTGAACTACTGTGAGAAATGGTTTGCTCGGTTCATGTGGCAAATACAGTGGGTAGCCGAGGTCAACAAAGTTCCTCCTGAGGTTCAGACAGTTTATGTTACACAAGGTGCTTTCCTTCAGGTATTAATTTCACTTTACTTGTAATGTTGTAATGCTACAGATTCAGTTAAATTCCGTGTGAGGAAGTTGGTGTTCTGAACCATTTCGTTGTCAACTGTGGATATTTGCCATATCATCAATAAAAGCTGGTGCATATGTATGTTTTAATAGCAAAAGAAGTTTCAGTGTCGTCTTCTCCTGTAGGTTCCTTTTGTTTTGTTTGTGCACTGCTCTGGCCTGGACTCCTGACACTGATCCCCCCTTTTACAACTCATCACTTCCACACGCAAAATATTGGCGCAGCCTGAGGGGTGGGGTAAACTCAGCTGACCGACAGCCCAGAAAATGCATTTCTGCAGTGGCTATTGTCTCGTTTTCCCACTGAGGTGTCATGAGCCATGTATGAGGAAAATCTTTTTTCCCCTTCATATTCTGAGATTTTTTTTTTGCTTAGGAAACGCTGCCTCTTTTACTTCCAGCAATCTGTTCTCTTGGCAAGAAACATGACTATCAGGTGTTTAAAATTAAAGTTGTTAAAATCAAATTTGCAAAAGCAAGAGGGTTTGCCCCAGTGTCCTGGATATAGTCCAACTTTGGTAATTACGTCTTGCCTAACTAAATCCTTGTTGCCATTTCATGGCGTTCCCTGCCCCATTGAAATCTGGTACGGGGAGTTGCTGTGGCAGGACATGTTAAACATCTGCCATGTTTCTACCCAGAAGTGGCCGAACTTCAATAGCAGATGAAGTGATTTATGATATCTGGCATGCATACACACAGATTTTTATTGCAATGACTTCTACTGAACTATAAGTTATTTAGGAGCAGCACTTCTGAAAAAATCAGCTCAGTAAACTAAATAAGGATTTGAAAGCCTAATTCTCGGCCCCTCTTTCAGGCAATCTTTTCCAAACCCATCCTTTCTTTTATAAGGAGGTGCTTAGAAGTGGCAAATTCTGTGACCAGCTGTGTTTATGGGATAATAACCTTCACTCTGCCCAGTAATCCCCTCCAGAAACACAATTCACGTTCCAAAGCTCTGAGCAACCTCAGCAATCAGTGAGTAACAACAACGCACATGCACCTGCTAAAGAAATGTTTTCCTCATTTTTGTACAAATGTGAAATTTCTTCCTTGAAATTATGTTGGCAAGAGACCAAAGACAGTAGTTCACCCTGGATCACTGACAGGCCAAGATAACCTCACTATTAGAAAGGACTATTCTATATGAGTGTTTTTCAGCACTGGCTGGGGACCTCTAGTGGTCTGGGAAAAAATCAAAAAATAATCCCTGCAACAAATTTTAAGCTTTTTTTTTTTCAATTTTAAAAAAAATCACCTGCATTTTCTCACACAATAGCAGCAAGGAGACAAAATGGAGAAAACAAAAATACATGTATGTCCAAAGAGTAGCCCATTTAGAAGATTAGCTGCTGTAAATGAAACCATTCTGGCAGCAGTCATATAATTGGTCTGCAGATTCTTTTTCCTAAATAATTAGGTAGTCCTTGGCTTGAAAAAAGCTAAGAAATACTGAAAAAAAATTCCTGCTGGAAATGGGAAACCACCGGGGATCCTGGTGGTGCATAAGCACTTGCTTCTAGTTTTAAAGGGCTAAGCAAGTTTGAAACACTGAAAACCATTACACTTTGAAACCATAACATTATACTAAGCAGAAAAAATTGTTTTATTATCAATATTTAAAAAACCTTATATCATATATGTCCTTGGAGATGGACCCATGCCACTAAGTATGAGATGAATGAAATCTCTTTAAAACTCTGTGATAAGAAAACTCCATTGATAATTGTTTTGGATCATCTGCACCTTGTGCTTGGTTACATGAAGTAATAGAGACCATCTGTCTCCTTTCTTTCTAATATGTATATATGTCTGTGCATGTATCTCTATGCATATCTGTTTTCACTGACATAGTGCACAGACTCTCCCAACTGCATGTTAATAAGATGTTTATACCCAGGGACGGCCAACCTTCCTGACCTTACAAGCCGCTTGTGTACTTCAGTGAGAGACACTATCTAAAGCTCAGGCATTTATGAGTTGTGTATTACTTGCTGATTTAGCACACACGCACACGCACATGCACATGCACACACACACAAAATTTCACTAGCAATATCGGGTCCCCACGAAATAGAAAACGCGTTGGCCTAAGAGAGGAAGGAGCAGCGTGCCTGGAGAAACGGTGTACCTGGGCCTGGCTCGGGTGGCAGGCACCACTGGGAAGATGTCTTAGGCAAAAAAATGGCAAAAGGTTCTTTGGGACCCTCAGCCCTGTAAACGAAGCACAGTGTAGCTGAATAAGGTTTACAATGCAGCTACGTTGAGCTGCATTGAGCTGCTCCCCCCACTCTGTGAACACACCTTGTGCTGAGAAACGGCAAAATTCGGCTTAAAAGGCAGCCAAGCAGTAGAGCACATTTCTTCACTTAGATTAAAAGCATTGTTTAAATTCTTGTGGCTAGACAATTTGTCTTGTCCTTTAAAAAAAAAAAGCCATACTAAACAGTGAAGCAGCATAAAGAGGCTGTGCTGTGGGACTGAGAGACTGCGGGGAATTTTAGCCTGCCTGCTGCAAATCAAGATCAGCCTTTTTACCTTTCACCAATCTTTCTCCCTTTGTTATTTGTGGTTACCACAAAATCTTATTCTAAGAGTCTCTCAGATGTTAGAATTAGATAATGGCTCTGGAAAACGGTGCCACAGCCTGCATAAACATAGCCGTGCAAAAAATAGTTTATGTTATGCTGCTTCCCATCCAGCAAGACTCTGGGAAAAAATACATATATAATATATATATACACATATATGTACATACATATTTATATATTTGCATCTTATATGCAAGGATTTTTTTGCTTGCTGTGAAACGGTCCCATTTCGGAGATGAACAAGAGCAGCAGATGGGTAATGCATAATGCTCACGTTGCCATTTATATAATAAGGAAGTGACAAAAAACTCTTCCTAACAGAAGGACCATATAAAGAATGTGTCACACATCCCCTCAGGACTGTTAAGGATCAGGAGGGCGTCAGGCACATAATGTGATTTGGCAAACACCTGAAGTTACAGAATTTTCTCAGGGTGGCTGCCGGTCGTTCTCACCCCATCTCAAACAGAGGCCAAGCACAACAGAGAGGACTGTGGAGGCTTTTGGCCATATTTTAGGCCCACACCTCATGCTGTGAATACCCCATTTTACTGTAAAGGAAAGGATTAGTTAGAAACCCTGGACTGAGGAAAATGCAGAACTGGGATATTTACAAGTAAATTGTTTAACCTGAAAGGTCCTTCACAATGGTATGCGGCCCTCTATCTAGCAGCGAAACCACAGAAGCAAACCAGACATTAAACACCTCTGGAACAACTTTAAAGAAACCATACGGCAAGGACATTTTTTCAGCAAACAGCTATACATTGGTGACATGTCACAAGAAAATGGCATCTGGGAGAAACACAAGCTCCTCAAGGCTTTAGGATAAGGTTTTGTCCATTTGTGCCTAGATTTCGCCTTTTGAATCCAGAAGACCAGAAAATGCAGGCTTGTTTTGGAAAAGCTCTCTTGCCTCCATATGATTCACTGCTGGGTTTCAGACTCCTCCTGAAAGTGCCCAGCCCCATTTCAGAGCAGATTTCATTTTCCCTAAGGTAACGCTGGTGAGATTTTGCAGGCCAAAATCCAGTATCTAAAGAAGCAGAGGGCCCCTCATCTCTGCCAAGGACTGTGAGGAGATACCAGCAAGTCTTCACAGGTGTGGATCTACAAGAACAAATAAGGGGGAGAGAGACTTCCCTTTACCACATCAAAATCACACAACCCATACTTGTGCATGAAGAAATCTGCATCAGTCGGAGCTGTGGGCAGCTGGTTGGGAGACTTTGAATAGCAGGACTGGAAAAACATTGATAATTTGTACGGCAGATTATTTTCCACTGACAAATCACATGATGGCATGCAGCCACATCAGTCACAGGACCACTGAATGGCAATGGAGTGATATGGAAGAACAGGGCTGCCCCCAGCACCAAAAAGCTACCCGGTATCAACTGCAGCGACATATCTCCCATGACTGTTACATCCCAGGCAGTGGAGTAGAGGGTGGGTATAATTCAATATGCAGGGTATGTTCACAGGCAAAAGAATATCTGAAAAAAATGAGGAAGAAGGCGCTTGCCTACAGTTCTAGTAGTGTTAGTCTCATGAGTGAGAAGGAGGTTTTCCCAGGAATCCCTGAGCTTCATGTGTTCACGATTTTCCATGAACATCATACCATGATTTTCTTGAAACAAATTGTTTACTGTATCCATATAACTCTGTAACTATTTTTGTTATAATTTGACATGGGAAGAGGCCATAATCTGGACTGCTCAAATATTAATCTCCTTCCATCTGAAGCCTATTTTATGAAGGAGAGCCACACAAATGACTCAATAATATATGTAAACTTTGGCATCTTGCATGTCAGATTAAGTGGATGCATCTAGCTGTGCAGCTATAGAGCTCATTTAATAACATCAATCATGTAAAATGCAAATCTCAGTCATGCAATTTTTCAATTCCTGCCGATTCCAGCAGCGTGACAATGGAGAACTACTGCTCAGTAGTGCCGTCGGATCCAGCTGTAACTGTGCTGTTCCAGATGCCAGAATTTGTTTCAGCTCACTTCCAGATTTTTTTTTAACTTCTCCTCTCAGAGAACAATAATGGAATCTATTGATAGTTTCACGAAGGTGAGTATCTGATCAGTGTCTAAAAGAGAGGAAATGACAAAGAACCCAAGTTCTCGTTCCCAGAAAGTAAACTTTGCAGTGAGTATTTTGCTTTATTTTCCTCAATAAAACTCCAACTCAGGGTTTCATGCTAAGTGCAAATGAGCAGACCGCACTGCCTCACATGTTTGTACATGGATCCAGCCCAATGAAAAAAAAATGACTACTGAAGGCCTTGAAAAAAAATCAGTGCCTGGAAAGGGGCTTAGTACATTCACAACATTATTTAGCTTTAACAAAGAGCAGCAACCCCAGATGACCTTCTGGCTCCTGTCTCCACCCAAGTTCCTGGCCTCTGTTCAACGTCCTGGCAAAAGTTGCAGACATCCGCAGCACAATGCCAAGTAGCTGTTTTGTCTGTAGATATG